GCTAAAACAAATATTTCAACCACCAACCTCCAGAAAGAAGGGCGGCAAGACTTAACAATGTAACGACCATGTCGTAAGTGTTTCACTGAAGGTGTGCTGACCATGTTCTGCTGACGACCAGCCAACATCCGTCGCCGAAGAGCTCTCCGTCCCCCTGTCCCTTTGGAACGCACTTGCCCTCCCATCATCCCTTCCCCCTTCCTCACTATATAAACCTCCACTTTTTTGCTGGCTCAGACACGGACAGGGACCGCATGTCGCCTTGGGTGAACGAAGGCTCAGCTGCTCTCGAATGTTCGCAACAATCGTAGAGAGCAATTCTGAATATAGAAGCCCAAGAAGGTCGCACCAGGACAGAGCGACTGCGCTGCCAGTGTCGCGAGGATGACATGCATCGCACCACGGTATGCAGCCACGCCGCAGAACAAGCGAAGCCATTTGGCCAAATCCTTGTCGGCTTCCTGAAAGCTCCTGCGAATAGCATAGGCTCAGGCTTGTCTTGTCGTCAACATCCAGCCGATAACGGATGCCAAAGCTTTGCCGGGCCCCTCACGAACTGAGGCAGAGACTCACCCAGGCTCTGAAGCATGCAAGCCAAGAAGCACGAATATGTCGCGCTGCTTTGATGCAGAGCTACTCCGAAAAAGGAGCCGAAGGATGGCCTGCTGCACCTCAAGAACCAGAAAGTGCCTCTAAAGAGGACACGCATGCAACTGAATGGAATGTGGAGATATGCGGAGCGAATGCTCGGCTCAGCACCCGAACGAAGCAAGCAAAGAGGTCTTCCCGATATCGATGCTTCCGGCGCCACCGGCGAGGTCGTCGTCGAACACAGCACGGCAGCAGGCAGCTCCAGAACTGAGAGCATGCGTAAAGTGCGATGTCGTGCGATGTCGTGCCGGTGCAAAAGGAAATGGCCGTCCGAGCAGCGCGTCGACATCGACCAACCCGAGAAGCCAGCTCGGACTCGAACCACCTAAGACGTCCAGCGGACCGCCAATGAGAAGAGGCCGAGTCTTAGAGCAACTTAGGCACGGCGGGCGCGCATACAAGTGAATGTCACGGTCGTCTTCCTTGCCTTAGCTTTCAGCCAGGACAGCCAGGTCAAGAAGCTCTGGCAAGAACCGGTCTTTGCCATCCTGCAGAATTTCACCGTAATTTTAAATTGAGCCATCGTTGAAGAAACTACAAGAAACTCTGACAACCATCATCCATTGCACTTGCCGCGCTTCCTGCCAAACGTGCCGTACCAGCTGAGGTGATACGAGGCGCGGATAGACACAGTGAAGCGCACACACTTGCAGAGAAATAGGGCTTGTAAAAGCAAGCGACTGCCCGTGAGAGAATCTTGCACGACCAAACCCAGACGTTCGTCCAACTCGTCACCATCCTGCTTCGGTGCTCTGATGCTTCTAATTCGGTCAATACCAGTTGGCTTCACGACGCTCCTGCAAGCCGACGATGTCGAAGGCCTCCAGCCTCAGATCCTGGCCAGCCTGGAGTCCAAAGTGATGCACGCTCCCTTCGGTGCTCTCGCTGCAAGATACTGAGCACTCCACAGCAAGCCGGAAGCCCTTCAGAAACCTGAGTGTCAATCAACTTGCAGCTCAACAGTCCACGGTGTGCTGTCTGCGCTGCTGCACTGCTCCATAACAGCTGCCAAGGGACTCTCCCACCGACTTGCGCGCGACGACACCTCCTCCGAGCTGCAAGGACTCCTTCAGCTGATCAATCTGCTGGTTTTTGATGACCTGAGCTCAGAACAGCAAGTGCAAGAGAGTAGGCCTTTTCGAGCGAAGCGGGCCATGGCCGGCAAGTTGCCAAGTCCGCCAGGAGCGAATAGCTGCTTCGGCCAGCTGCTGGCCGCTGTCGTGGAGGCTTTTCCCAGCGGGGAGACTCCTTCGCCCCGGTACGGAGGGCTACAGCTCACGGAGTGTGGCAAGTGCACGCTACTCTCCTCGCGAACAGAGTTTCGTCTCCCACCCCTGACGGAATTCCTTCGACCTCAGGAGCTCAGCTGAACTCCAGAAAAAACGTTCAACATCAGCATTGTAGATATGGCCGGTTATCCACTGCGCTGTCCCGAAGACATCGACAGCTCGAGGGCAAGGCGAGGGCTGTCCCCCCGCGGGCTGTCACGCGGACTCTGGCCCGGGCTTTGAGCACCTGGAGCTGAGAGGACGAAAAGCTACTCGAGGCCAAAGATCTTATGCAAACTCTCTCGAACCCTGAAGCAGGCCGAAGCGCGAGCGCTGGCCCCTCCACGCGGGCTCGCACCGGGGCTCTCGTCGACATTACTTCGCGGGCTCTCGCCCCTGGCAGACTTCTCGCCCCTGGCCGACTTCTCGCCCCTGGCCGACTTCATGCCTTCAGGGACAGGGAAGACTGCATCACAGGTCTGCATAACGATCTGCAGAATTCTGCGCCCCGCTAGCGGCTGAAGCCTTCACTGGAACGGCCATGTCTCCGTTCTTTCCGGCATCATGGATCGGAGGAAGGAGCTCTCCACCATGCGCCAAGTAAATGGCTGAAGCTTTCCAACAAATACCTGCAACCTCTTTTACATATGTGTTTGGTCGATTAATGCTGCGCAACGTCGCAGTATGAGATTCCCTGTTTGGTCCGCAGCTCCTTCTGAGATGTGGGGGCTGGCTCCAAGACATGGGCTATGATGCTACTGTACAAGGCTACGAACAGACACTCATTTATCTGCAGGTCGTCCATCACGTTGCCTGAAATCCACTGCTTCACAGAACTATCAACTGAGCCAATGCCTGCCCAAGTGTTCTGGAATGCCCTAGAGCGACCGAGCAGCAAACAGAATTCACAAGCAATGCAACACGAGCAGATGAGTGTGCGACCAAGCCCTTTGGCAACTGGGCAAAATCTAGCAAAACAGGCTTTCACCTCAAAGCTCCCCGACCACACTGGACAAATTCATGGGAACAGGTCAGAATTTAGCTGCCCAGTATGATGCTGTGCCACCACTTTCCAAGACGAAAGAGCTGGAGCTATGACATGAGGAACCTGGCAAGCTGGGAACTTTGTGAAACGGTGGTCTCCTGCTTGCACAGGAGCCGCCGCTGCTGCCGCCAGAACAGCGAAGAAAGAGCCATGAACACCGGGCGGTGAACATCTCCGACGCCAACCATCCATATTATGCACTCCACAGAAACTACGAACACTCCTTGATTATTGTAGTCGAGCTGCGGCGACGCTGCGGGAAGAAATAATGAACAATGCCTACAGATGGACGCAGAGAACCATAGCCGCTGTACTGAATCATTGGACATTGCTTCTTCCGGCCAAAACGTGGGAGCAGGTGAGTGAGGCAACGCCTGCCATCACTGTTGAGAATGCTCGCCAGTGAACACTTTCCGTGTACATCGACGGTCCACGACTACGGGCCTGTGGTTCGACAGCACCTGTCTGCCAGGGGGATTTTCAGCAACGTCCATGTTGGAAAGAACGCTATGTCAATACGCACGGCAGTTGCTGTCACGGGCAACTAATGCGCAAATCATCTCTAGGTATGCCATCAAGTCCCGGGATGTTTCCGATGACATTTGTTAAAGACACCGGGCATCGGCCGAATCGGATTTTTAGGTGGCTGGCAAGTATCAGCGAAAGATCACTGGCTTGGTTGAGCTTTTCCTGTCCAAACCCAACTCTATGTTGCTTGCTGCGATCTCAGGAACCACCTGCCTCTAAAGTCGATACATATACCATACGACTATGAGATGATGACAGAAACTGCGTCTGCATGCTTGGTAAGACCTGCAACCACTCCAGCAGTACGAAGACGCACCTCTAGCGCAACCCACTGCGCACGGCACCCTGCCCAGCGCCATTAAGATCGCCAATGTGGCCAAGCACCTCCACAAGCCCATCTGGATAAAATGCTCAACTGTGGCTAAGCAATTCTTTGGCACATCAGCGATGGGGGCCGCGAGCGCAACCCAGTGCAGTTTGTCTCGTCGGCTGCTGGCCCCCCGGACAGAAAATTTGTGCGGCCAAGCACTGCACTCAGAAATACTGAACGGAGCTTCCGCACGCTGCGCCGACTGCATACATGAAAAGTTGCTTAGGAAAGTAGCAATTACTCCGGATCCTGAGAAGCTGTGCGACGAATGCGAGCTCTCCCTACCGACAACACGGGCCACTTCGTCGCTTCATGGCAACATGACAGGGAACCTTGGTAAGAACTATGGTGTGGCTTCTCCAACTCCCTTTCGTGGATGCGCGCCCTTGATTTTCAATGCCGTACTTTCTGACACTCTCTGAGGCACTGCAGGAGCTTGTAGTTGGCCTCGTGCAGATCCAAAGCCGAGTTTAGGTTTCGAGAGAGGGAACTAAAGAGGGAACTAAAGAGCAACCCAACAGCCAAAGCTGCATAGATTACGTAGTCGTAGCTGAGAGTTCCCGACAGATCCCTCTCCCCATCTGCGCAGCACACAGCCGCCACCAATCTCGACTTCTGGTCTACTTGCAGCTTGGCAGGTTCAACTGTGGAGAAGGCGGTGCTGCAATTCTTGCAAATGTCCGAGCCCAGCTCTGGACGATGAGCTCGCAGTTCACCATTGGTCTTTATGTGTAGGCTAGCCTCTCCTGGCAAGTTTTGGAGGCCGGGAACGTGGGCAGCTTCTAGGTTGCGTTTGCAGAGCCAGTTGAACGGTGCAAGCCGCTGCCGCAGCCGATGGCAGCTGAGCATGTGAAGGATGCTTTGCACAAGTCACGAGCAGTCACCGCCCGATTCGCACTACTGAGCTGTACACGGCACATATCATTAATATCAATGCTTGCCTTCGATTGCTAGTGCTGGTCTTGACGGCATCAGTGAAGTAGGCAAGCACGCAAGCCGACCTATATGACTGCGCCATGCTGTGCTCCTATGATGATGCCTTCAGACGCCCTGCCACACAGGCAAAGGCAAGCCCAGAAACCCGTGCCCATGTCCAAAGCATCCTGCAAAACTGGTGAGCAGTGAAACGGCTACACGGCTAATCTTCAGACCAGAAGCACCTGCGCGTGCGGACATGTTCGATCAAGGGCCAGCCACCAAGAGATCAACCGCGACGCGATGCATTGGCTGCGCCAGACGGCCTCCCATCTGGATGAAACCAATACTTCTTGCTCGTCGCCGTGTCCACGAATTCTGCCCATTGTCCTGTGCATCGCACGCTCTCTCTCGCTCTCTCACAGACTCAGTCACAGGTCAGCCGCGGCGCAGAACTCAGCGAGTTCGGATTGTCATGTTAGCTGCGCCCGTGAGGCGGCGATGGCCTCCTAAGTCCTCAACTCACCGAAACAGCATGCATCGGCAACAGTGTTCTGATAAACATTGGCGAATCGTTCCGACCGTACGTAGCAGCTGGCAGGACCAGATGGAGAAAGAATGCCAACAAGAATTGCACTAAAGGCTCTGGAAAACTCTCTGTCCATTCAAAGTCTTGGCTCTGGGGCTCTCAAGCTGAGGCACAGCCTGTTAGGGTGGAAAGGGAAGGAAGGAGCTACGGGCACCTTCCCTTGATATTTGTTCGTACAGATGGGCGAAAAAGCTAGTGCTTCGGGGATTATGCTTTGGCTTTGTATTCTTGATACGCAATCAATACGGGGGATAAGTTGAAATCAGAACAGAACATTAAAGCAGCAAGCAACAAACGAGCGGGATTGTTTCAGGCTACGTGAGACAAAGTTTGTCAAGTTCCGGGAGTTGGCACGGTGTTGATAAAATGCAAGAGTATTCGTATGGTGGGAAAAGAAGTCCTGTATCGCCGTGGAGACCCTGCAAAGTGAGGGAGAAGACACGAAGCATGACTTTTCTCCCAGCAGGGCCTTCGGGCATCTATCCATTTGCGGGTAGTGACGGGGAGAAAGCATCCCAAAGGGCCTGGTTCATTCTCCATGAACCATTCTTCCGTGTTGCAGCAATGCCACCTCGCTTCCGTATGCTTTGTTGCATCTCTTGCAGGTTCTGTCGGGAAACACTTGAAGCTGACATGCGACTCACGTTGTCAATAAGTAAGGGCCTGCTGGGCGAAAACAGGCATGTTGAGGCTCGAGCCAGTACTCGGCCTCTTCCGTGACATAACCTGGGCGGGTGCTTCATGGTCTGACCCGCTCGGGAACGCATGGCTGTTTGTATGGTTGTGCGCTGTGCGTTCTGCCCCCCCCCCCTCCCCACGGGAGGCCTGTGCGGAGGGCCCTGTTCAAGACACAGAGGGGGACTAAACTCTGAAGCTCCAAGCATCCAGCTGTTCCACAGTAAGAAAGGGCGGATGATCACACGCACAACCATTGGAAGAAGGCCTGAACCAAGCCACCCAAACATTCCACATGCAAGCTCAAGGCCCAAGCCGCTCCACAAGAGGGGAGGGGGGATGACCAAATGAGAGGATACCATTGGGGGGTGGAAGGGGGGAGGGGGTCGCCGGGGCGCAGACTTTTTAGGCTGCAAAATCGATCAGACGTCACTGGCGGAAATGGCGATGATCACAATCTGATTGAACACAGTTTGTACATGTCCGTACGCCTACTCTCCAATCAACCACTTGATACTCCGCCTACCTTGCAAATCGAGCCAGCAGTGAGCAGTGCTCGGGATCGCAACGGATCGCACAATCAACATTGCAAAAATCATGTCTTTCCTGCCTGCAAGCTAAGAGAAGACGAGGCACGTGTCCAGCCCGTTTCTGAAGGGCTGGGTGCTTTTTGCTGAACGGGTACCTGTGCAACGCGACTCCTGGTGCCGACGGAAAGCTTAGGGTGGGGGGAGGGGCCATGTCACACCACTCGTGAAACTTGCATTCTGTGGGTGCATTGGCCACCGGCTCAATCGGCTTTGTCACGCCACTGACGAATCTGTCCTCACACTCTGCAAGCCGGAGCTTGCACCACAAGAACAGTAAGCATTATGACCGTGCCGAAGTTGCAGGTACTGTCACCATCGTCATGATTATGCTCCGCAGCCTCATGATCTCCTCCTCCTCCTGCTCCTGCTCCTGCTGCTGCTGCTGCTGCCACCACGACTACCACGACGACGACTACTACTTCTTCTGCCAAGCTGGGCCACGAGACGGGGCTTCTTCAGTAGGGCAGAGAGGAGCCGAGAGGAGCCAATTCCAGCAAAGCAAACTCATGCACTTTCTGATCAGCATTGTCCTTATCCGACTTATCCTGATTCAGATGCTCATCCTCATTTTCGCATCTTCGCGACCATCGCAATCATCTAATACTTGTACTCCAAAACAAGCCTCTTGCAAGGACGGCGCCTCTGAGACACCGCGCGCTCTGGAAAGGTTGTCGTTTTCGATCGTTTTCGCGATCCGAGGCGACGGAATGAACGGTCAGGTGCATCCAACAGAGTTTCACGCCTCCCAGGGCCCTCGCTTTGTGCCTTTACAGGCCCAATTGGTCCAGTCACGTCTGGTATCGGCGCTCAAATGATGCATTGCAAGCTAAACCGGCGACAAGGCTCTGCGAGCTCTGTCATGGTGTGCGTGGTCGGGCTGGCCATTGGGTTCGTGCCATCCACCTGGGTGCAAAGTTGACTCTCACTTTAGGAAGTCGTTCTACTGCGAGCTTGGACCGATTTCCGGCCATATACGAGTTTTCGCAGTGCCTTGTCTGCATTCGAGACTGTCGGCACTGTCGGCACCTTCGGCTCGTTGACCGTGGCCTGCAGAACCAAGTCTCAAATGATTCTATTCGGTCTGATTTGCGACGCTTGGTGGGCCACAAACTAGACTCTGCCAGCAGTTGTAGCACTTTTGCCGAAAGCCAGCCTCGCTGGCATTGGCAGGTGCAGGGGTAGCAGGAGATGAGCCGTTCACTGCCTTGCTGTGCGATCGCATCTGTCACATGCAACCCTGTAGTTGACACTTAATTAGTTGTAGAAGAAAGCCGGGAGAGGCGTTCAGCATTAATTACCTGAGGACGAATGATGTCACACACACACACACACCCCGATGACATGCATCTTCCCCACGACGTGCCTGCACGTCAAGGGCTTTAGCCTGTGCATCTGCCTGCGCCAATGATTTTGCAGGGGTTCTCGTTTTTCGGGATGCTTCGTGCAGTGTTCCTTGCAGGTTTTGAGCCACGGGGCACTCGCCTAGAAGGAAAGAACCGACCCTACGTCCCTACGTGGCCCGAAGCCACGACCTCCCAGCCCAGCACCGGCCTTGGTCCTGTCCACGAAGATTCGGAAGTGAACTTCATCACCCGCCTCACAGGCAGCATGCTTCGCCCCGCATGCTGTGACTGCACAACACGTGCCAGCCTTCAGACCATTCAGCTGCGAATGGTGCAGAAAGACATCACGATTGAATCTCGCATGCCTCAGCGCGAGAAGCGGTTGTTGGGAGCTTCGGCAGGAAGCTGAGGTGTGCTCCGGTTCTTTCCCTCAAGCCCCAAGTTAGTCCCAAGCAGGGCTATGCATGGCCGGCTTGACAACCACTGCGGCCCTGACGTCTCATCACAGCTGATAAAGCCGTAGCCTTTGGAAGCATTGAAGGACTTGATGCGGCCGCTGTACCTAGCTCGCAGGTCAGCTGTGAGGCCGGCCAAGCACGAGCATTCGCAAACAGCATCGCTCTGCCTAATGTGTTCCACTCCCAAGGCACTTCTGGTCTTCAGCATCGGACTTGTCGAACTTGGGATTTCGACTTGACGACCTCTCACGGCAAGAAACCTTCGACCTCGAAACTTCCACCATTTACGCCGTGAACAGCCTCAGCTGCACTGGAGCAGACCGGCAAAGCGACATTCTCTTGTTGTTGGCCTGTCGTCGTCTTCTGCGCCCTGCTGCAGGCGGACAACGCGGGCCTGCAACAAGCATGTCTTGCTCTGACCTCTCGTCACTTCCTCATCATTTTTTGCATGAGGCTCGGCAGCCCCTTCGCACATGGCATAACACTCAGCTACCTACAAGCTGCAGAACTCCCAACCGCTGAACAGCGCAAGTGCACTGGTTCTGTATTGACTGCGCTGCGGCTCAACCACCACCCATTCGCAAGAACAAATTGCATACCTAAGCAAGCCTAAGCAGCTTCTGACAAACTTGATGGGCAAAAACGGCCAATCAGATTTACAGTATTCGATGAGTGATGCCCCCTCGTGCCTGTGGACGGCTGTCCTTGTTCAGAGTGAAGAAGAAGCTGCACTTGACCCCTTTGCGCACCCTCTCTTCCACCTGCAGTCGGCGATGGCTCCACGGACAAGGCGACAAGGTGCTCGGAGCAACTCCAAAACACGCACTAAAGGACACTAACAGCTTCCGCATAAGAAACTATGGAAACATCACATCACCCCAAGCATTGAAGCAGAATGCTTTCACGAGAATTTGTCCAGCATGGCCTGGGAAGCTTCTACGTCGAAGACCTCATTAAGCGTGAAGTAGACATCACACCTGGCATTGAGTCGACAGCATCTGGCTCGGCTCGAGCTCAAGTCACACGGGGTGTTCGAGTCGCCTTGAAGGCGCGCTAACTAAAGAGTTTGATCGGATGGCATCACACGTTTTGGCTGCAAAAAACTCGCCTCACTATGAACGCGGCTGCGCTGCATCGAGTGGCGAATGAGGCACGCTAACAGCTCTGCCCGCGCACCTCATCATCTCGAAGACTTTCTGGCATGAGATGAAGCCGAAGCCTGTGCCAGTTTCGGGATTCCGATGCCGAGGGGCGACATCTGATCACGGCGGATCATGGCTTATGACGAGCCAGAAGTAGCAAGCGACCTACACGTCATGAAGGAGAAATCCAGGCCTCGCTCTGCATAAAAGCTTTTGATCTCACCTTCCAGCTTGGCTCTGCCTTGCACACGCACCGTGTGCCCAACGTGCTTGTGCATGTGAGTCATTGGTAGGTGGCGTGTTGCGTGCATGTGTGATTGAGTGAAAAAGAAAGAAGAAAGAGAGAAAGGGAGAGAGTGAGTGAGTGAGTCTGTGCGCGAGTGTGCGTAAGTGTGTGTGTGTGTGTGAGTGTGCGTGAGGGTGCGTGAGTGCGTGAGTGAGTGAGGGAGTGAGTGAGTGGGAGAGTGGGTGAGTGCGTGAGTGAGTGCGTGGGTGAGTGCGTGAGTGAGTGCGTGGGTGAGTGCGTGGGTGAGTGCGTGGGTGAGTGCGTGGGTGAGTGCGTGGTTGACTGCGTGGGTGAGTGCGTGGGTGAGTGCGTGGGTGAGTGCGTGGGTGAGGTGGGTGAGTGCGCGGGTAAGTGTGTGGTTGATTGCCTGGGTGAGTGCTTCGGTGAGTGCGTGGGTGAATGCATGGGTGAGGGCGTGGGTGAGGGCGTGGGTGAGGGCGTGGGTAAGTGCGTGCGTGAGTGCGTGCGTGGGTGGGTGCGTGGGCGCGTGGGTGCGTTGGTGCGTGCGCACGTGGATGCGTGGGTGCGTGAGTGAGAGAGAGTGAGAGAGAGA